ATTCATCAACTTTTATCAAAATTTACTAAAAATTTGATTTTAATCATCACCAAGCAGTGACTATTCTCTTCAATACATTTATCTCCTATTCCATAACAGTGGATCATTCATTTGAAACATTTGATACGTCAATTTCAAGAACTGAATGTGACGATGATACTGAAAGTGATGGGCATTTATTTTTTTATTTTATAGTCTGTGTTTCCTATAGTAAGCGATTCAAGTAATAGGTCCATTGGATAGTGAATTCTTATTGAAAGTACATGAAAGAAATCGTTATTATACGAATACATTGATCAAGACAACATTTACAAATTAAACTGAATTTTTCAGTGAAATTGAGGGGTTCAATAAACTGGTTCAATAAACTGAAGTTAGCAATGGCACAATGTCTCAACTCCCTTGCCCGGGGAATGAGATGGCCTGGGGAGCAAAACATGCTAAGAGGTTTTGATTCGAAAGCCAGGTCTAGTTGTTATAAGAATGTTGTTAGTCATGACATCAAGCAAAGAGCGCTCCTATAATAAAAATGCCAAAGAAATTATGTCTGAACACAAACATCTGACATTCTTTTTCTTTTTTAAATTTCAGTTTATATTATGATGTGTATATAGTACATAATTTCTATTTGAGTTATGTCAAAACTTCAGATCAAGTAAATTACTTGATAGCGACAAACCAACCTAGTATATTCTAACACGTGGAAACGATTTTCTTGTACTGATTATTCCGTTTAAAAAATTCAATAAATAGAACACGTTCTAATTTAGAAAAAAATAACCACTCAACGAGCCCTTGTTTGACTATCTTTATATATAATCAGTCAAAACACTTTTATCGTTTTTCTTTTTACCTACGACATAGTACAAAGCAATTAGAGGTCGTTCATTTACTAAATAAGTTTGTAGTCGCGACGACACCATAGTCTTGTGCAAATTGATATCAAAACTGATAAGAGTAAGGAAGTGAAGGGGCAGATTTATTCCAAGGAAAATGCAGACAAGAACATGACACAAAAGTAAAAATTCTTAAACTAGACAAAGTGTAGTACATTAATTAACACTAATGCATTACAAATTTCAAATATAAAAGCAGGATACATTAGCATAATCTGCCTCGCCATTAAGATTAATTCTATTCTTGAGCCCCCATCAAGGAGAGAGCACTCTAAGGAACTGATGAAAATGCCAAAGGATAGAAGTTGCCCTTTTAATAAAAATATGTCACCACCCTTAAGATGACCATTCCTTACCATTCACCGGAAAAGGCTTCTGATAGGTGGTGCCAACGCCACTTGCCACCATATGCCGCCACACACCGTTAGGAGCCATTGGCAGCAGGGTGGCGGCCGAAACTTCACATAAAAGGGGGTGGCAATGCTAAGAGGGTTGATCAAGAAGATAGGAATGGTGTTATAAGTATGTTGATAGTCATGAGAGCAATAAAAGGAGGTGACTTAAGTAGGAATATGTTGTCACTTTTGGTTAAAGGGTAGCAAAAAGGAAGTAGAAAAGAGTGAAATGGAGGGTGGCTGTTAGCATCTGCCAAGGGATATGCCATTGGCATCTCCATTGTTCCATGCCACGCCATCTTTTTTTTTTTTTTCAAATTCAATTTTGCTTTTTGGTCCATGTTTTTCTGCTGCCATACTTGGCTATTTCCAGATATGGTGCTTAATTTAGTGAAGAACTGAGGGGACACTCAAATGAAAATAGCATGGCTAGGAAGTACCCAATATAGGAAATTAGGGTTTGACAAAACTTTCGAACCGAATTGAACTCAAACCGAACTATTCCTCTTTAAGTTAAATACCCGAACGGGCATTTGAACCGAGAACCGACGGATTTGATTCGATTATCGATTCTAGACCAAGAACTGAATCTCCTTAATTTTTTTAACTTTTTTATCTTAAATAAATCAAATTATTTTATTTTTTTATAAATAAATTTGCTAACTAATTAATTTAACCCAAACCCAAAATATGATTTTCTTATTTCTAATTTCCACCGAGCCCAATTTACAAACCTAAATTTTACTCAAATCTCTTATTCTACCTTAGTGTCATTTTTGTCGTTCTGGAGAAATCGAATTCGAAGCTCAGGTGCGTTTTTCTTCATTATTGTGAGTTCGCTATCTTCCCCTTCTTGTGATTTTAACAGTCAAATCTACGATGAACTCAACAAAGAAACGAACAAAATATATTACGAAATTGGACTACGTGATTTTGTTAGATCTAAAATTGAACATGTCATTAGTTGAATTAATGTAGTATAGTTCTAAATGTTAAAAAAATAATTATTGTATGAAAATGGGGAATCGAATGGAACCGAACCGAACCGAACTCAACCCGAACGGTTCTATAATTACATTTGGACCCGACGATTCCACTTATTAAATATCCAAAAAATCGAATTCGGTTCAATTTTCTTTATATCCGAATCGAACCGGACCGGACCAACCCTACAGAAAACATTTCACTACTCGTTCAACTTTCAGCAAAGAATGTTAGATCATTTTATTCTACAGAGACAAGTTGTGAAATTTCTATTTCGTTGGTTTTCTTAAAATATTCAAAGTCCAAACCACAAACCTTTGAATCTAGATGCTAGATACCCATGACTCAGTTGTACTCTATTGCGTCATCTACAGGATTTTTTAATTTTTTTAATTTTTTTCTCCGAAAGTTAGATCCAAGTGGAATTAGTGGGCGTTCCTCTTTAATATTCTTTTTTGCGTCTGAGTGAGATTTTCATGTTTATGGCTGACATAACATGAATCGTTCACTTGAACAATTTTTTATACATTTTTGTTGATAGCGTAATGCCTTTGCACCAAAAATATTTCGGCATTTGGGTCAAAAGAAAGTGCAATCTTCTGTAATACGCACTTTTAAGCAGTTTTGAATTCGTATTAAGCCCCTATTTTACAACCACTATTTCAGAATATATTCATTTTCAATCAAACATTGACACAATAAAATATTCTACAAGTAAATTTAAAAAATTTCCCTACATTTTAACTGCACATATTTCAAAAATTCACTATTCAAAATTTTATTTTTGTCCAATAATGATCATTAAGTCTCCATATTATCTAAAAGTTTGTTTTCAACCATACATTTTTCAATAAAATAATTTTACACGCTAACCAAAATTTTCTATTTTTTAACCACATATTCTCCAAAAAAATCACTATTACAAAATCTATTTCTCAAAAATTTGGGCTCAAACCCTAAGTGCTCGTTTGGCTGGACTTTTCATTTTTGCTTCAACTTCCTCTAAAAGCTCTTTATTCTAACGAAGTACGTTCAAAAAATTATTTAAAGATATTCAAAAACAACTTTTTAATCTTAAATGTAACTTTTGACTTTTCAAAAGTCCTGCTAAACTTGCCCAAATATGACGGTATAAGCTCATGCAAACAATAGCTCATTTAGGAGCAACAATATTCAAAACTTACTTCATGTTTGAGATTTACAAGGACAGAATTATTAGTTTCTGCATTTTGCACTTAATATCATATTGAATCTTGAAATTGTATCTCAAAAGGTCAAGATGAGACTAGCTTAAATCTATATATAATAATTATTGTTTCATGTTTAAATGATGAGGGAATACTCTAGCCTTTGATTATTAACTTGAAAATTTATAAACAATTATCGAAATCAGTAGACATAACTGGATAGTAAAACTTACAATTTGGGTACAGGTTCATGAAATGTATAGTTAAAAATAAGTTTGTGGAATAATCAATTTAAAAAAATGAGCGCAAATAGGGGCTCAATATCTCAATTGTCTTATAGCATTCCTATTCTGTAACAATTTAACCATCTCCAAAAATTATAATTGAAGGAAAGGTAATGTGGAAATTTGAATCTTGGGTTGAGAGCATATTATTTGATGCTAATGATAATTCTTTTTGAATTGGTTTTTGCTGGTTAGCACATGCAATGACGTGTATAAAATTGACATGCAATATCAAATTATTTTCAAGTACAAAAATGAGTTTTATATGTAGGATTCTTGTGGGCATATTGGATATTCCGGTCGAAGTTGTGTTGTCTCACAAACTAGCTGATTCTTGGAGGGCTTATCGACCACTAAGCTTCGCTTCATCTCTCGTACTAGTGTCATTTGAAAAAATATTTCAAGAAGGTCGTACTTCATCGTGTTTATATCCAACTATGGACAAGATTTCGACTCTTACTATCCATTTACCAAAAGTTTCAAATAAGATTTCATCCGATAATTATCCCTTCTTTTTCCTTTTAGGTAGTGATAGAGATAAACAAAGACCGATATGTCTACTATACTTGGTTCTGGATGGCAAACGGCAAACGAAGTAACCCCCCACTAAAACTTAACACACCACCTGTGTACGGGCTGCTAGTCTACTTCAAGGGACAAAATAATCCATTAAGATAAGGTATTTTCTTCCTTCCAAGTCCAATCTAAGATTCTAAAAAAAGGAGAACCAACTTAAATGCTAATCCTTCGAAATCATGGAAGCATCAGATTATTGGAACAAAACATATCAGCCAGCAGGATCAAATTGGACATTCTAGAGGACTAACCCTGAGAAGACAAAATATCTGCTATATATAAAATATAATTAGCTTTACACAGAATATGGGAAAATGAACTTCAGTTGCATAACCAATCTTCGAATATGTTCCAGTACATATCAGATACCACAAGAGCAAAGTAATTAATAGAATACATCGTTTGTAGAAAGTGATCATCTCAGATGGAAGCCAGTTCGAACTTGGCAAGTTTATTTATTTCATTCTGTGTAAATAATCTTACAAGCACAGGCTTGAATTCTGCTGTCCATGAGTCATTAGTCCTACTAATTGCAAGCAGTTTTCCTATTTGAGTTATTAATTGTTACTCGTATAAGGTAAGTGTACTTATTCTACAAAAAAATATGTATAGTAAACTTGTATACTAGAACTGACCTATTATAGTAAATAATGCAGATGTATTTTGCTGGGGCCAGTTTCATGAGAACCACCTCTTTCCACCCTTGGTTGCTTTCAGCTTCATCACAAGATTCTCACGCTGGGCCTCAACTTCAGCATATTTGAGACTCGTGTGGAGATAACGCTCCCGGAGGTCTCTCAACTCTGTCTCGAGCGATGATTTTGTTCTTTCATATCTTTGTCTTGTCACTACATCGCCAGAAACTGTTGATTGCTTGGAAGTAACTGCATGGTCGTTAAATCCCATGGACATAAACCTGCGGAAGATGTTAGCCAGAATGAGTTAAGAATTGTAAGTTATGACCATATCTACTGACTTAGGTGACTCGGTGCTTTTTTGAGTTTAACATTACATTATTTTACAAAGAATAACTTAAAATTTACAAAGAGTAACTTAAAATAACATAAGGGAGAAGCAGGTATGAGAATCATCTTTAAGAAGACAACTGACAACTAGGATACCTTTTAGGTTCATCCATTCTACCAAATTTCTTATTTTGGTTTTTAATCATTTGTTTGTTGATTTAAATTTTCTTGAGTATGGATAGAACAGTGGCAAAAAAGGATTCACGTGGCAATCTCAAATTTTATGGTATACTAAATGCTCAATAGAAAAATCATTACACAGACATGCAACGAGGCATGAAGCAAAAAAATTCTCATGTCAGAGTTTAGAATATACCCACCTATCAAGCTGAATTTTGTACTTTTTATTTGTTTCCAGAGCCTCAGCAAGCTCATTCTCAAGACACTGTATTTTTGCTAAATGATCCATACTGATAGCATTAGGATTTTCATCATGACCGTCAACACCAGTATAGCCCTGAATGAGTGAGGAGAATTATAATGTAGCCCAGATGCATAAGGTCTATTCACAATCAGTACTACAAAGCTGTTTAGACGTAGACAGATGATAGACATGGGGAAATAGGAAAAGAAATACCTTTCCACCCTGAGTTTGTATCTCCTCCTCCATCAATTTTAGATCTTCTTCAAGGGCTCGAGCTTTCCCCAAGCATTCATTTTTCTCCTCCTCGAGTTGGTAAATCTTTTGCTGAAACTGTATGTTTGCCTTCTTTAATTCTCTTACTTCATTTCTTAGGTCTGCATTCTCAGCACATAAGATCTCATTTTCAGTCAAAGCACTTTGTTTTTGCAAAAGCTTTTCTTCTAAGGCTATCTTCTCCATTTTGCATTCCTCAAAATCTGACATAGCCTTCTGCAATTTAGAAACCTTTTCAAATAAGGAAACCTTTTCAGCCTCAAGTTCTTCATAATCTCGGGACACAGTCTGCAAAGTCAGCTCTAGTTTTCCCTTTGCAGAATTGCATTTTACGAGCTTGCTTTTCAAGACTGAGACTTCATCCTGAAGCTCTGGTATATTCACCAACTGAACCTTCAAACTCGCCAGTTCTTTAGTAAGTTGCTGGCGTTCATAGTCAGAGATGGTAAGCTTCAGCTCAAGGTCATTCATTTGTGTCTTGAGTTTTTCTTCACTTTTCCTATTACTTCCCAACAATTTCAACATCTTTTCATTTTCAGCCATCAGTGTTTCATAGCTTCTCTGGGAAGCAGCTAGCTCGCCTTTGAAGCCTTTAACCTTCAACTGAGATTCTGCCAGGACCGCTTCAAGCTCACTTTTACTTAATTCAGCTTCCAACAGAGCTTCTTGAAGGGAAGATTCTAGCTTGGCCTTGTCAGCAAGTAAACTGGAAATTTCACCTTCCGTTTCAAAAGAAATTCTTTCCCTTTCCTTATGAGCTTCATAAATTTCGCTGGTTAGATGTTCTACCTCTTTTTGAAGCCTCTCTAGTTCAGTTATCTTCTCCAAGAAAGTCTGCTTCAAACTTTCCACCAGAGCAAATTTTTGTTTTTGATTTTTATTTTCACTCGCAGAAAAATCTTCTAGAATTGAAGTGAGCTGATCTTCTAATGATTCAACCTTTTTGGAGCAATCAGACAGACTTTTTTTTGATTCCCTCAATTGCGACACCATTTCTGAACAATGTTCCTGCAGTTCTGAATTTTCCCTGTTCAATTCTGAGTTTGAATTCTTAAGTTTCATGCTTTCTCCTTGAAGAGTTATAGCAGACGCCTGTAATTTCTGATTCTCTGTTTTGAGATTTTGGCACTCCGCTTGAGCTTCTAACGAGTGTTTTTGTAGATCTTCACATTTTTGTTGGAGATCAGATACATAGGCATCCATTTCAATTTTAAAGTTTCGGATCTCATCTTGGAGATTAATTGCAACAGATTTTGAGTTATCCAATTCCAATTGACAAGATTCTTTCTCATCTTTGACGTGACTTATTTGAGATTCCAGACCAAATATGTAATCTTGTAACTGCAAATTTTCTTCTTCCAACTTGAATAAGTTCTTCTCTAATCCGTGTTTTTCTGACTCCAGCTCTTCCAATTTCCTTTCAAGCATCTTGTTAGCCGAAGCATGGGAACTCACAGTGTTTTGGAGAACTATCAGATCATTTTTTAGATTCTCCAAGCACTCTGAGGTGATATTTCTTTCCCTCAACACAAGTTCCAAATTTTCCTCCAGATGGCTATTTGTCTGTTGAAGATCAGCAACTTGAGTTTCTAATTTGCTCTGTTGCTGCAAAAGAAAGTTGGTGTTTTCTTCCTTTGAAAGCAAATCAGCCTCTAAATTCTCCACCTCAGAACTTTTCTGAGCCAATTCCTCCACCAAGTTTGAATAACTCTCTTCAACTGACGCCTTTAAATTCTCGTGTTTTTGAAGTTTCATGATGCAGTCTTCCAGCTTCTCTTCAGTCTCTGCAACAACAGTGTTTCTCTGTTCAATCTCGACTTCACAATGTTTAAGAATTTCCGCATACTTATCGATCCTTTGTTCCAGTATCTTATTCAACTCGAGCAAAAAGCGAACAATATATTCGGCTCTTGTTTTCGTAGTCATTGTGTTTCCCTTTCTTGCACTCATAAGATCCTGAAGAAAATAATCACACTTCTCACTTTCATCAGATGATATGTTATACCATGGCTTGTTCAGATGGTGAAGAACCATTTCAAGCTGTACCATTATATCAGTAAAATGTTTTGAAGTTTCAAAACCAGCAAGCTGCACCTCCTCGGACACTTTCTTCTCAAGCTCATCTTCCAGTTGAGAAATTTGACATTTAGGATCAATCACCTCAGACTCATCACTATAGGATCCACAGTTTCTGATGTTATTTTTATCTGATTCCTTAAGCTTCATTACGAGGTCGAGATTTTCATCAGTGAGTTCAGCACAATCCTTCTCCAGTTCCTGAACTTTTTCTTTCAAGGCTTCAATTTCTCCACTGAGATTCTTATAATTTTCATTGCTGTGATCCACATCCTCCCAGTGTCCTCTTGGAATAAAATTTGATAATTTTTCTTCTAATCTGGCAATTTCTTCTTCCTTAACTGATAATATATATTTGTACTCTTTTTCAACATGCAATAGATCATGGGAATTTGAATTCCGTTCATTCTCCATCTCATCAGTTTTGTCTCTTAATGCTTTCTCGAGCAATTGCTCATTGACTTGCAATGTCTTCTCTGATTCCTGAAGTTGTTGCAACTGGAGCAGCAAATTCTTATTATCCTGGGAATTTCTTGCAATGGAACTTTCTATCTCCTTAAAGTCAAATTTTAGAGATGAAAGGTTCTCTATTTCGACTTTCTGCTGTTCTATGGTCTCCTCAAGTTCTTGAAGAAGAGAAACAAGCTCGATATTTGATTCTTGACTTCTTTTCAGTTGTTGAGCTAAATTAGCATTTGATTCTTGCTGATATTTTATCTCATTCTCCAGTTCCTTTTGAATCTTAATAAGGCTTTCAGGTTTAGTCGTCGAATGTGCTTGTGTAGCCTGTTTCATTGTGGATTCCTCAAGCCGTAGTTTCAATTCTTCTCTGTCTCTTCTTAGGCTATCACATTCTGCATATGATGACGAGAGCTTAATTTCTAATTCTGCCTGCTTTTTTGACTGATCCGTGAATTCCTTTCTTGACAGATCCAAATCAAGCATTAGCTTCCGGGCATTTCTTTCCCACATTTTAGCTTCTGCACGTAGTTCCTCAATAGAGTCTTCTGCAGCTACAAGAAGATCTTTTGATGTATTAGCATCAGTAAATGATGACCTGGAAGCTTCTGTTACATTGTGTAAATCTTCCCTTATATGTAGCCTTGAATTGAAAGATGACTGGTTTGATGGAGAACGATCATCAAGAAAATAATTATCAGGTGATGGACTACTCTCCAGGCTGCTTCCAACTTGTCTTCCCTGGGAACTATGTTTCTCGCTCCTTGAGAACGAATTTTCCTTTGCTATAGAACCTTCAGCGGAGTCAAACCTATGATTTGACCCAGATGCCGAGTGACTTGTTTCCTACAAAGAGATGAAGAGATAGTCCTATTTACATGGTAGTAAAAAGTGAATATTGAGTGGAGTCTCAAAATTGATTGAGGATTAGGCAAAAGCCTGTAGCACGCGTATCTGATTTTCACAAAACATGGATATGATTAGGAAATCCATGTGATGAAGGATGTTTATATAACCATTAACCGTAGATAAGACCCACTGTCTAAAGAAAAAAATTTGTTTGCCAAGGTTTTTGACTTTTCATGCAAAGAGAGTGCCATAAAACAGAGATGAACATTAGGCCACTAAAAGACAAATATCATTAGATGATAATTATTGAGGGTCTTACGATGGATGTGTGGTCATAATAGAAAGGATAAGATAAAAAAAGAGAATATATATCAAAAGGTTAAATCAAGTCAACAACAACAGAGGTTATTGGGGGCATATCTTGCGTAGATATAAAAGGTTAAATCAAGGAAATGACGATAGAGGTTACCGGGGTCATATCTTGCATAGATATAAAAAGGATCATTCATGAGTGACGTGAACTCAATAGAACAGGTTAGAAGAGAGCGAGGTAGTTATTCTTGTTGTAGTTGCTAACATGCTGCTTTGAATCTTCGAATGACAAAAAAGATTCATGTAGCCGTTCCCAATTGGCCAATTATCAAAAATAAGGCTTAGTTTGCTACTAAACTTAACATGACAAATTATTTTTTAGTTGATTTGCATTAACTTTTAGCATTAGGCACGAATTCAATTCAATAATTAGTTTGGCAAGTAAAGTGGAGAGAAAGTGAACGATAAATGAAGTTATAAAACTACCTTCCTCTCTAATTTCATGGGATATGAGGAAGTGCCAATGTCTTGATGTCCAAAAATACTATCACTTGATTTATCTGATTCGTTTGACTTACTGCCCATATCTTTCTCACTCGTATTGGAGTATCTTGATTCATCATCCCTAAAACACAAGGAAAACAAGTTTCAGCAAAATGTTCAAAGTCCAGAAGTAAGATTTTGCTATACACTACAAACCTGGTCTTAGGTCTTGGAGTTAGGCAATGAATTTTGAACTGTAAAAACCAGAGAAACAAACTGATTTGTGTTAGCACAGAAGCTCTGGCGCAATTAACTTTCAATATTGCATCTTCGAGGATAGTAGAGGCAAAAACAATTGCGCCCAATTTAAAGAGAGAGAGTGTAAAAATAGTGTTAATACACATAGGCATGCAGATTTTGAAAAATCAAATAAATCAATTTTATAATTCATGAATACTTGCACCATTTGGAATTGCAGCGTGCACAAATTCATTGCGAGTTTTTTTGAAGGCTAACACGGCAGATTTACACTCCTAAATGTCTGCATCAAATCACCACCAAGATAAACAAATAAAAAATTATTATCAAGTCAAAATTTCTTCATGTATGTGTACGTCTCATCTCATTTCAAATTCAAGTACACTAGTCACAGCTTATTGAAGTGGGTGTTCCATGCTCTATTGTTTGGAGAGGAAGGGAAGTAAGGAAATAGTTACTTGCAAGGGGAATGGAAGGGAACCAACATATTACACAAAGAAGGTGCTGGTAGAGATTTTGAAGCATACCCTAAATCTAACTCTAGAGTACAAGGCTTAAAAGTTCAGTTCTCTTCATTTCCATTCCAATCACTCAAATCCCCTTAAAACAAACAGGACTCATTTTGGCGACAAAATTACTAGTTTTTCATTGCAACGTGAAATTTCCATCTTTATTACTTGTTATGAAGATGGTACCTCCACCTGCAGCTATAATATCCATGAAAGGGAGGAGGTGATGACATTTCACCTTTCCTAAATGAACCATATACTGAAATATTTTGCACATCTCACCTGCAAAACTGTCCCATGATTGCAATTCTTTAGAGGTTGTGAGACTGCTGCAGATACCTTTGAACTTGTATAACGTGCCATATTGATAGTTGCCTCTCCAAGGTTGCCAGATCTAGCTGAGCCCTATAAAGAAGTGATGAAATTACTTTCTAAGAGAGAGATATCATATCAATTTTCTTGAACATTGAAATACAGCAAACTGGAAAAAGTACTGAAATGTTTTCAAGCATTGTACACGGTCGAATTAATATATGTAACTTCATTAAAAAGATAAAAAGATTTCCATCATACCGTGGATACAGCAAGCTTGAAAAGGCATTCTTCATATTCTCTCAAAGAATCACTGCGTGAAAGCCATATAGATTCCAAGAGAGTCTCCGTCCATTGGCAAGTGCCATTTTGCACAAGTGCTTTGCCTAATTTACCGACTGTTTTCCCCGTTTCTACAGAAATTAAAGAGACAAAAAGCCTGTCCCATCCTTTTGGTACCTGTTGCACAAAATTGATATATAACCAACGAAAAAGTGAACATTGATCCACATACATCTGTGCAATATTACCGAATAATTAAACAGATTACAGAGAATTTGTAGAACCTTGATTCACAGTACCGTTTAAACCAGAAAACATAGCAGAAGAAGCAGAAAGCTCAGATGAAAATGTCTCAACACATCAAATGGAGTAGATGACTTGCAGCATTGCTTAATTTTTATTTCTTCTAATATACATGTTTAGAATTTGATGTCGGATTGATTTATGTAGATGAATCCAAATTTATGCAAATTGAAATATTCACTTGAAAAGCAAAAGTGCCTCAGTTTAAGATGTGAAGATCGCAGAAATTGATGAGATGATAACATAGGAATGCACGAATTCTTGGAATTGCAAAATATGGGCGTTGAATTGTTGACATTCATTTCTCAATCCCTTGGCAAAACATTGATATTTCATACGTGCTTATTATTAATTACAAACTACAAGAGAGTATGCAACTCAATAAATAACTTAAAAATAGTAATAAAGAATTCACAAACTAGTGAGGTTGGATCATCTTTGAATATAACTAAAGAGTCAAAAACTCCTCAATGTGTTCAGTACCATGGAATTGGGGCCAAAAAAAATTGAAACCATAGAAATGTGAATCAATTGTTTCTTGAATTCCAACCTCAAAGCTCCCAAATCCTTGCTATTAAACTAGGTATTGAAGGTGGGTTCTTGAGAATTCAAACTGACTGTAAGTCAGTTGAAGATACTAAATTTTGAAGCCAAAACAGATATTTTATGAATGATCAGAAACCCAAATGTTGGCTGATCAACTAAATTGCAAAATGAAGATGAAAGAAAAATGAAAATGTATGCATTTACACCTTAAGGGCTTGGAAATTGGAGAATTTGAAATCAATCCTCTCTCTTGATTTGGTTGGCTTGTTGTTGTTTTGCCTCTGCAACTTGAACATTCTTTCTCTATATCTTGAGATTTTGAAATGTTGGAAGTAGAGAGTGAGTATGAGAATTATAACATTGAAGTGAAAGAAACGAGGAAGGAAGACGGAAGAAGCTGTCAGCTAGACTGTCCTTTTTGTTCTCAACTTCTCGTTGGTACACTGCAATTTTCCAAAAACGATGCTCGGTTTACAGTTAATATGTCAAGTTTCATGTTGTAGTTGAATAATCATGTGAACGTGTCTTTACTTAAGTTCTTTGACCTAATCGTAGTCACAGTCTATCCAACTTTGACCGCACATTGTAAATATTAGTTTAAGTTTGAGTTGTCATTTCATTTACACTGTAATAGTTTATTTAATTGTAAAATAGCTATGATATTATTAAACGTTTAGTATGATTTCTCGTCATTTAAACATTTATTCCTATCACTTAGGTTTTTGTTCTGCAAGCTATTATAGGAGGTATTAGTTTTTCAAACAATCTTTTAAGCTTTCTGGTGGTCGCCCATGCACGAGTCATTGTAATTTCCTGCTTTCATCAATTGTAATTTCTAACTTTCAAGCAATCAATGATCAATTTACTTTCAATGTATCTCAATTTTATATTGTAGGCTTTCTACAAATTGTAATCAAATTTTCTTTTGTCTCGAAATGACCGAGAGGAGATGAAAGGTAGTCTAGCGGAGCGGACTACTACCGCACGGTGTCCCTTTCTATGCCAAGAAGAAATGCACTTCGTGAAAGTTGGTATCAGAGCTGTGGCTCACGTCCCTCGATAAGAAAGCTATAGAAGTTATGGATCCAATTACGTCGAACACAACATAAATCGTCCTCAAAAGAAAAATACGAAACATCGCGTTGATGTGCTTGAGATGACAACTATTAGGTTGTGCTATGTCGTGAATGGCCTCGAGGAAAAAGTCGAGGTGGCAAAGACGAAAATTCGTGAATTACACATCCAACTGATTCTTGGGATCTCCTTAAGGAAACGACCAGATCTCAATTTTTCCCAGAAAATGTAGAATATCAGGCACGACGGGCACTACGAGAACTGAAATATACAAGCTCCATCAGAGAGTATGTGAAAGCCTTTTCAGGGTATATGCTGAATATTCGAGACATGTCGGAAAATGATAATCTATTCACCTTCATGGAAGGTTTGAAACCGAGGACACGTAAGGAACTTCAGAGACAGAAGGTTACTGATTTGAGCGCGACCATGGGAGCCGCCAAATGTTTAAGTGACTATCAACTCGAGTTGAGAAAAGATCGACCTTCGGGGAATGGTCAAGTTATTGGAGGTGGAAACAGACCTTACAAACCTAGCTCGAACTCAAATGGAAGAGAGCGTTACTCTAATAATAAGGGAGGAGCCTATTAAGGTACCCATCAAAGTAAATTTCAAGGGAATTATCAAAACAGTCGTTAAGGAAACTATAATGGCAGCAACGTAACAATTGGAATAAATGAAAAGAAACGGGGACAGATTTGATACCACTACTAAAGTGATGTGCTTTTTATGTGAGGACATCATCAAGTGGCAGAGTGCCCTCAGAAACGGATGGTGAATGCATATTGTCAACTAGGGGATAGCGGAATGAGTGCAAAGCAAGATGTCTCACAAGCTAGTTGTCACGGTGAGACCGACTCCGAAGAGGATGATGTAGTTGGTGCATTCTCGCATTGATGCAATACACTATCGTACCGAACTACTAAAAATGATGATGTTCCCTCGAAAGAGGTAAAGATAGAAGAATCAAAGACTCGTATTTATAGGGTCAAAGGCCTAATGTACATTGATGTGAAGATCAACGGAAAGTCAATCAAGGCCATGGAAGATACGGGAGCTACCCACAATTACCTCGCAAGTACCGAAGTAGAGCAACTCAGACTTGTTCTAAAGAAAGGTAGTGGAATGGTCAAAGCAATCAACTCCACTGCTCAACCAATAGCTGGAGTAGCGAAATCTGTGTTGCTCAAAGCAGGTCATTTCGAGGGAAAGACAAACTTGTCTGTAGTTCAGATGGATGATTTCAAACTTATTTTAGAATTAAAATTTCTTCGGGATACTAAGACAACAATTCTGCTATATTCCGATTCATTAATGATGATGGGTAGTAAACCGTGCGTCATTACTACACAAGCTGGGAAGATAGGCGAGAAGAATATCTCGGCCATGCATTTGGCAAGGGTTTCAAAAGGAATGAACCCTCATTTTCGTGCATTCTTCGATTAGAGGAGGTCGAATAGGTGACTGGTCCTATTCGAAAACCTATCAGATGGCTGATTAAGGAATTTGAGGACATCATGTTGGATGAGTTACCAAAGAAATTTCCACCAAGGAGGGTGATTGATCACGAGATTGAACTTATTCCAGGTTCCAACCCCTTGGCAGGGCACCCTATCATATGTCTCGGCCAGAGCTTGAAGAGCTTCGGAAACAATTTGGAGAAATGTTGGAAAATGGGATTATCATGCCTGCAAAATCACCATATGGAGCTCCCGTGTTGTTTCATCAAAAGGTCGATGGTTCTCTCAGAATATGCTGCGACTATCGAGCCTTAAACAAGATCACTGTAAAGAATAGTTATCATATTCCGCTAGTCACTGATTGTTTCGACCGACTGAGTTGGACAAGATACTATACAAAGATTGATATCATATCCGAATACTGGCAAGTTCGGATCAAGGAGGGAGATGAAACAAAGACTATAGTGGTGACTAGATATGGAGCCTTTAAATTTAAGGTGATGCCTTTTAGGGGTACTTCACGGGTTCTTTTACGATTTTGTGGTGGTGTACCGGACGACATAGTAATCTAAAGCGAGACATTAGATGAACATATGCCGCATGTGAGACATGTTTTCAATCGGCTGCGAGAAAATGAGCTCTATACCAAACTGTTCAAATGCTCATTCTCTCAGACCTCCATCAGTTTTTTGGGCTACATCATTAAAACAAGGTAAAATACGCATGGATTTGAAGGTTACAGTCATCAAAGATTGGCAACCACCAAATAATGTACATGATGTACGTTCGTTTCTCGGGTTATGCAATTACTACCGAAGATTCGTGAAATGGTACTCAGAAATTGCACTGTCATTTACCGAGTTGGTAAAGAAGGATAATGGGACTGCTCACCCCAGTGCCAAACTGCTTTGGAAAAGATGAAGATGTCTATGTGGACAAACCCGGTGTTAGCCTTACCGGATATGACCAAACTGTTTGAAGTTCATACGGATGCTTCAGATTTTGCACTTGGTAGAGTCTTTATATAAGAAGGACAGCGAGTAGCGTATGAGAGCCGAAAGCTGAATCAAGCAGAACGTCATTACTCGGCGCACGAAAATGAGTTGTTAGCAGTAGTCCATTGCCTTAGGGGATGGCGTCACTATTTGCTTGGGTCTCCATTTATTGTGAAGACAGATAACACTGCGGCTAGTCACTTTTTGTCCCAACCAAAACTATCAAGCAAACAAGATCGTAGACAGGAACTTCTTTCAGAGTTCAATTTTATGTTAGAGTATCGTCCCTGATCTAGTAATCATGTTGCCGACACTCTTAGTCGTCGGGTCGACTTGGCCACAATTTACTCTATGGCTGCTCTGTCAGGGAGTATAGTTACGACAAACACAAAGAACCAAATTCTGGCACTTTTGGATAAGGACCCGACTACTCAATATTTGGTCGACCTCATCAAACAGGGCAAAACTCTTCAGTTCTGGCTCGATGAGGGGTCTAGTGAAGACTAAGGGAGACCACCTTTATGTTCCTAAGAGCGGAGATTTGAGAAAATAACTAATTATGGAATGCAAAGACACGATTTGGGCAGGGCATCCTGGAGAGGAATACACTTTTGCACTACTACAACGTGCGTACTACTGACCTCAAATGCGGGACGACATTACAACTTATGTGAAAACTTGTCTTGTTTGTCAGCAAGATAAGGTAGATCATCAGAAAAAGGCATACTTGATGAAGCCCCTTTCTGTTCCAACTTAACCATTCGATAGTATATCGTTGGACTACATTGTGGGATTGCCAAAAGTTGGAGATTTTGGCACTATTATTGTCGTGGTGGACCGTCTATCAAAGTACGCAACTTTCATCGCAACGCCCAAGTATGTATCAGCTTCTTCAAAAATATTGTTAAATATTGGGGACTGCCTGAGGATATCGTCATCGATCAGGATCCTCGATTTACAAGCATATTTTGGATCTAGTTGTTCAAACTTCTTGGTTCAACTTTGAGCATGAGTTCTAGTTTTCACCCATAATTTGACGGACGGACGGAGCTCTTCAATTCTATGCTGGAAGAATATTTTCGGCACTTCCTCTCTACTTCATAGAAAAATTGGGTGAAACTTTTGGATGCGGCTCAGATGTGTTTCAATGCACAAAAGAGCACTTCTACCAATAAGAGTCCTTTTGAGATTACTACTGGCCAGTAACCGCTACTCCCTCATACTGTGGATATCGATCAAAGTACAAAGTCCCCTCAAGCAAAAAGCTTCTCTCAAGAGTGGAAACAAAATATTGAAATTGCTCGAAGTTGTCTTGAGAAAGCTCAGAAACGGTACAA